ACTTAGGCACAATGCTTGAACATGGGTCAACTAACCAATCAAAGTATTACCCTCTTGATCAGCTAGGTTACTCAGGAATCTTGGGATAGCCTGAAAGAGGAAAAAGGGAAAATTAGGAGAGAGGAACCTTTATCTTCAACCATAATCCTGTCTCTGCTGCCCTCATAGTGCCGAAAGCATTTGTTATACTCCACTTCCAGCAGTTACAGGAATCATGCCAAAAGCCCACACATTCAGAAACAGACAAAAGAAGATGCCACTAAGATAGGAGCGTAAAGCACATGTTATTTAGATAAGATGGCAGAAATGGAGCCAAGTTTGAAATTGGTTGTAACAGTAAGACTGGGCCAATATTAAGTTGATTTGAGACCTTTTATCCCTAAGGGGACCAACCTGGGCCGAAAAGAACCTCAGACACAAAGAACTATTAAAAAATAAAAAAAGGAAAGGGGCATAACTTTGCCAGAAAGATGAAAAGAAATCACACTTACTCATTGCTGTGGCAAAAGATGGTAATCTGGGTTCAATGTAGCCATCTTTCAAGCATGACCTTTCCTTGAGACATTCTAGGCTCACTCATGACTGCCTTGTAAGGTCGACTGGGGAGTCTGGTTAGCCAACCAGAGCAACGGGCTACCCCTGTGTCAATCCAAAGCCAAGTAAAGGCTCTGATCACCATTTAGGGCTCTGCACCCAACTCCAGAGTGTCCCAAAATTTAACTCAGTTCTGCAAGTTGAAGGTTCAGTATACAAGACGGCCCCCACTACCCCATTTCAGACGCAGAGCACAAGTCCGGGTTTGTCACCTATGACTGTGACTTGACCAGCTATAAAGTCAGAGGGACCCATGACCTCTTCCTTGGGTTAATTTGCTACGGTCGCTCACAGAACTCAGAGAAACCTTTTACTTACTAGATTACCAGTTTATTATTAACCAGTGAAGTTGCTCAGTCATGTCCGACTCTGGAATCCCATGGATTGTAGCCCACCAGGCTCCTCCATCCATGGAATTTTCCAGGCAAGAGTACTGGAGTGGGTTGCCATTTCCATCTCCAGGGGATCTTCCCAACCCAGGTATTGAACCCAGGTCTCCACGTTGCAGGCAGATGCTTTACCGTCTGAGCCACCAGGGAAGCCCAGTTTATTATGAAAGGATATAATTCAGGAACAGCTAAATGTAAAAGATACCTAGGGAAAGGGCACGATGCTTCCATGCCTTCTTCTAAGCCCACCCCTCTTCCACCCCTCCCTCAGCCCTCTCCTTTTTTGGATTTTATAGGGAGATGTGTGTGTGTGTGTGTGTGTGTGTGTGCTAAGTCACTTCGGTCATGTCCAACTCTTTGCGATACTATGGACTGTGGTCTGCCAGGCTCCTCTGTCCATGCGATTCTCTAAGCAAAAACACTGGTGTGGGTTGCCATACCCTCCTCCAGCGGATCTTCCCAGCCCAGGGGTTGAACCTCTGTCTCTCATATCTCCTGCATTGACAGGCAGGCTCTTGACCCCAGCGCCACCTGGGAAGCCCTTATAGAAACATGATTGATTAGATCACTGACCACTGGTGATTGAAATCAATTTCGATTCCCTTTCCAATCTCCTCCCTTCCTCGAGGTCAGAAGCAGGCAATAGGACTAAAAATGTCAACCCTCTAATCTCTTTGTTGTTTAGGACAACCAGGCTCCATCCTTAGGTAAGGTGCAAAATTAACCCCATTAACATAACAGAAGACACTTTGGTTGCTTTCATCACTTAGAAAATTCTGAGGATTTTAGGAAATTTTATCAGAATTAGTGATGAAAACCAAATATATACTTTCCTTATAAATCACAACATCACACTGGACAACTAATTAGGTTGCATTACAAGGTTTCCTGTAATTTCCTTGTTCCTTGTAATCATTTCTCAACCAATTGTTCCATATAATACTCCTTGGTTGAAAAGAAAGCACTTTGGTTCCTAAACATTTTGTATGAATCTCAGTGAGCTATTTCTGCTTACCACAAAATCATAGAGCTCTACCACAAGTATTGCTGGTGTGATAAACCCCTAGCATCCCACGCTTCTGCAATAGTAATGATCACACAGGGTTTTCTCATTCAGCAATGATCTAAATGAAAGATTGAGAAACTGTTACATTGCTTGGTAATATGATAACTTTTACCATACTTACTATTTTAGGGATTTCCATTTGCTATACAGAATTAGCTAGACTCTCTTAGAGGTAATTCTGCTGACATTGTGGATTTCATTACTTTCATCAAACNAAGAGGCTGGTAGACTAGTTCTCTGAATTAACTCTAATTCATCCCACTGAAGTGAAAGACGGAGAGAGAGTAATGTGGAGGGTAGGAAAGCAGTACCACTGGAAAAAATTAGCCATGATAGGCAAAAATTTAGGCAATTGGATGCTCTTAGATTATACAAGGATTAAAGAGAAGTCATAGTCAGTCTCAGCTTGAATCAGCATTTGGATACTTCAGGCGTTATAGAGGCTGGCCAGTCCCCAGAGCAAAAAAATAAAAAACAAAACTTAAATATATTGTCTTTTAATAGCTTGATTAATTCTGAAAGAATTGATTCTGATTCATATTAATTTCTACAAAGCCAATTTAAACTGATAGGAAAAAATTGCCCTCTGGCCTTGGAATTGAAAGCAACTTTAAAAATCTCACCTCCGTAATAGCACTCTCAAATGCATGAGGTATAATTTTCTATTTACTCTTGTGGAGAAAACCAAGGACTAGGAAAGAAACAAAATTCCAACAGGTGATTTGGTTTTTTGTTTGCTGGTTTTTAACATTTACATTACTAGGAAGAGTAGTTATAGAGAGAAAGTTGCATAGGAGGAAACCACAAAATAGCTAAATGGTTCCAAACACTCAATCCAAAAGTGTAATTCCAAGGGGACAGGTGGGTTTCGAACACTGTCGGGGCTTTTCCTCACCACACAGCATTTTAGAAAGCCTCTACCTGCCTTGCCTACTGCTCCTTCTCTGACCAGCTGAAATGCTCCAAAGCAGGAGTCATAGAACTTGGAGGGACTGCAAGTGAAGAAGAGCCAAAGGCAAAAATGCTGTGGGTTCTATATAAATATCTGAATGGTGCATTCTTTTCCCCAAATCTGGTCTTGATTCCCCAGGCCAGTGTCCACATTTCCACAGTGGCCTTGGAGATAGACATCTCCAGCTTGGACTGCCCCCCTCAACCTTGCCTTGGCCACTACTGCTTATGGCCCTACCCTGGCCACACATTCCATGTCTCCAGACCACAGATGCTTATTAGTGGTTTCTTGTTTTCTGATCACCATTTTGGATGGGGAGAAAGGTCAAGATCCTTTCATAGTTCATTCTTTATCATTTGCGATACTTCAACCTCATCCTGACCCTCAGGTAATGTGTCTTAACAGGGAGCTCTCTGAGGAGCCTGGAAACCCTCTCCCAGCCCCCCTGCACACGAACGGCTTTCCATGTGGACGGGATGCCAGCTTACCACACCCAGTCTGGATGCGCCAGTCTCCGATTGGAATGCCCAGGCCTTGGCACACGAGGGCATAGGCCTGGATGGCCTGACACAGGAGGGTCCCGTTGTCCCTCACACTGCACAGGTCATACACGCAGCTGTGCACGAAGGCCGTGGGGTCCATAACAGTGCCACACTCCCACAGGGGGCCGTCCGTCCTGTTGAGGAAGCCGCAGTAGTCGGGACCAAAGTAGAGGGCCTCGGTGGCTGTGTCGCACTGAGTGCAGTTGTCCACGCAGCCCGAGTCGCACTTCCACTCGGTGTGGTAGACCCGCCAGCTCTCTCCCAGGTCCAGGACTGACATGGCCGGCCTGCCGTCAGGGCGCAGGAAGTCATCCAGAGGGTTTTTGTTGTAGTTCCCGCAGAGTCCGCACGTGGAGTTGATGTAGGAGCCTGGGATGGAGATGGAGGCGTAGTGCTGGCCGTCAAATGTCACTAAGAGCCCAAAATCTGTTTCCACGGCAGTAGACATGCCACTCTGGTAGATTTTCACCGCCCCCAACTCTAAGGTGACGGGCAAAGAAGCCACTAGGTCATTAACCTGCCAACAACAGCAATAGTGAAAAGGCAGGTGAGCGGAGGCCAGGGTAGCGGGTCCAGCTGAGGTCAGGAGAAGGAGGAGGAGCAACTCAGCGCCCTAGAGTGCATGGCCCCCAAGCTGCTCAGGCACCAGAGGGCGGGCTTGCCTCCCAGGAAGGCAGAGGCCCCCGGGACCCTTGAGAGCAGGCTGGCATTTGAGTTGTGACAGATATGCACTGCTTAATGCCACTCTAGACCCCTCTGGGGACCAGCTGGTGGTCAACACTTCCTGCCTGGCTCTCAAGGCACGTGTGCATGCTCAGTCATGTCCGACTCTTTGCAACCCCGTGGACTATAGCCCCCCCAGCTCCTCTGTCCATGGGGTTCTCCAGGCAAGAATACTGGAGTGGGCTGCCATTTCCTTCCCTATAGTTAGCTTTAGTCATAGTCAAAATTGTTCTCTCATAATAAGAAAAGATTTAGCTGGAAACAATGTAAGACATGAGACTTGAGAAGCACATAAAGTACCCGTGGGAGGTAAGAATTTTTTAAATATAAAGATTTGGTGATAGGAGGAAATTATAGTAGCTTTCGTTAGAAATACTACCTCTCTTATTCTAACAGGAAAAAAAAATGTTAAAATTCCGAAGAAATACTAGGAGTTTGAAGTATTTTTTTATTTTGCTAAATATTATGTTAGGAGAAAAAGTAACCTTCATAAATAATCTGTCTTAGTTTTGAAGGACACATAAGGTAATATTTGATTCTTCTTATTTTTTCTTGGTTTTTGAATTTGCAATGCTCAGTATCTTTCTTAATGAGATCTCATACAGTCAGTCCGAACATTTACATGACTGAGTCTAAAAATTCTTTTCCATATTGCTCTCTTATATTTATGCTTGGTCAGTTTTTAAAACTTTTCAAACACCTTACAGTATATCTGTCCTGTTTTGGCCCCTCAGCAATCGTGTGGAAGCCTGGACAAGAGATGTTGCTTTCCTACTCAGACAGGAAGGCAGGCCTATGGTTAATCTTGCCCCTAAAAAGACTAAAGTAAGAGTGATGGAAGCGGACTGGAAGAACACAGACAGAGCAGTAAACTGGTTAAGAAAGGAGGCAAGTAATTCCACTCAACCATTTGTTCTGTACTTGGGATTAAATTTACCACACCCGTATCCTTCACCATCTTCAGGAGAAAACTTTGGATCTTCAACTTTTCACACATCTCTTTATTGGCTCAAAAAGGTGGGTGTATACTGTGTGTCCTCAAAGTAAAAGCTAACATTTTATCTGCATGTTACTGTTACTTGCCCACTGTTTCTTTTATTATCATTGTAAAGAACATTTTGAAAATTGTATAATCACCTTGAATCGAACTTGACAAAAACTAAAGGGACCATTTTACAAAAATGTAATGTGTTAACTCAGAAACTGCTTCTAAGTTGAATACAGAGAATATGTCTGTTATATGCATTGCATATATATGTTTAAAAGACATTCTCTAAGAAGTCCAGGCAGTCTTCACTTTGCACAGCTAAGGAGCATAATAATGACTGTGCAAGCTGAAATTGTACAAAGAGATCTTAATAGTCAACTGGGAAAATGACCATTTTTCCAGGACACTAAAAAACATTTGTCAAACATTTAAAACTCTTCTTTTGGATTGTAGATGTATAGGGAAATAACAAAATAGTAAAACTCATGTTTATTTAATGCACTGCAATGGAACACACTGGAAACATTAAGAATTAAAATGTTTTTGTTTTTGTAAAAAACCCAAATCAAGAGTAGTTTGAACAGTGCTTGCCTTCCCATTGTGTAACTTAAGATATAGAACAAGCATCTTCTCTGTGTCTCAGGAATTTGTCATATTTCTTTCTAAATCTGGGTCACCCTCCACATTTGACCCTTTGCACTTTCAGATTTTGGAGAGTTCATTTAATGTGAAGATTTCTGCTAGTGTCACTTCCTCGAGGTCATGTTCATCCTTTTCTCCATAAACACCTTCCTCATCGATGCCAGTGTTTTCGCTGAGTCCCTCTGGCTGTGTATCTTGAGGCACCGAGTGGTGGCTGAGTCAGCCTTTCCAGCTGTTTTGTCTATAACTCCAGTTAACGTTTGATTGGAATTTCGCTTCCAGTGTTACTGCTTATCGCTTTACTATGTATTCATCTTTTTTTGCTCCTCCGTCCATGGGATTTTCCAGGCAAGAATACTGGAGTGGGGTGCCATTGCCTTCTCCGTGGTAATGATGACAAATTGACATTATAACAGAGTAGTCAAATCAGAGTCAGGCATACAAACTGGAGTCAAGTGGCCATTGAGGATCTGGTCTCAGATATGTCTCTGCACCACTGAAAACGTGACCTGTCTTTGAACTGTACTAGGTCTAAGATACCACCAGCTGTATTCAGAATAACACGTGCCAGCTGCAGTCTTCTGCTCTCAAGGTCTCCCCTTGTAATTATGCAATCAGTTTAAACCCCAAACAACCTAAGCATCCTCACTGCTCACCAAATTCAATTACAATTCTTGATAAACAGCTCATGTAACTGACCGTGACCTTGCAGCTTTTTGCCTTTATAAGCTTCCCCTGTTTTGTAATCCTGTGAAACTCTGGAAAGCGCAAACCCCAAATAAACACATTTTTATTATAGTCAGGTCTCCATTCCTGAAATTCTGGTTCACATTAGCTAAAACTTGAACCCTGCTATAGGGGAACTGGTATTATTAATATTTAAACTGTGGTAACAAATATATGTGCCTACCTGAGTTATGTAAAGTGAGGACTGCCTGTGCTTTGAAATGTGTCACCTTAAATCAAATTTAAGTTACTTTAAAACCTCTATCCAGAAACTATGTAGTGCATCCTATTTTAAAGGAAATAATGTTAAAGTTTTAAATACTTTGTGCCTTCTTAAAAAGTTCCAACTGGCTCTATCTTGAAAAATTTGTCAGGGGTCAGTACTAGCCTAATGAAATGAGTCAAATAGTTTTTAAGTAAACAGTTGCGTAGATATTTGAATTTTTAAAAGCTATCTAACTAGAAGATATATATGACTTAAGTCTAGTCTTAATGATTTTCACCCAAACTGTAAGCATTTACACATATTAAAAAGTTGTATTTGTTAAGAACAAATATTTGACTATCTCACTAGATATTGGCATTTTTACTAGTGAACTACTGGGGGGGAGAAAAGAGCCTGGATTCTTAGGTTATTGATTCTGAAGTTTTGAATTGATCACACAACTATAGTAAAGTGATTAGACACTTATTATGGATGAGAATACTGTCTAATATAGCTCATGTTTTTCACTGATACGTATAATTTTTTTTTAACTGCTACAAAATTAAACAGGTTGGAGGTAGGGGTATGGCTTCATTCTTCTGTATCTCAATCACATCTGGCAGTTTTGCTTACCTAATTCTATTTCTGAAATAAGCAGTGTCAAAACAGACAAGAGTCAGGAATGTGCTGATGTCTCCAGCGTTTCCAGGCGCTCCCTGATATCAGCCCTTATTCCTGGCATTTCTGAGCTTTCTGTCCCTGATTCTCCTATGATTAGGTGGGCCAGTTCCTTTCTCTGAACTGACACAGGGGTCATCAATCATTTGTACCCAAAGTCTTCAGTCTTAAGAATGACTTTAGAAGAGGGTGCAGGGTATTCACCCTGGTATACCACCTCCATGGGGGGCAGGAGTGAGAAAATCACCCCTCCTCAGGAAGCAACCAAGGCTGACATAGAGGGTGTGATGCTCTCTAAGTTCTGACCAGGATCAGACTATAAAAATTATCCTTCTGGTCTCAGAAAACCAGTCTGAAGTCAAGGTGATCAGCTTAAGACAGATTCAAATGCCTTATGAGTTTACCAATGGCTTTTTGTTGATGCTGATAATCACAATTTTTCCACTGAACTACCATACTACAATGCCCTGTAACTTAAAAAAAAGCAGAGGGATATTTAAAAATGGACTAATTTGTTTTTTTTTTAAAGATAATTCCACATAGTGCTACCAGTGGGCTAATGATGGAATTCAGCTTGCCACCCCACAGGCCACACTCCAAAGCAAGCTGCCTTATAGAACTTTCCCAACTGTGCAAGAAAATTTTAGAGTTAACTAGCAACAAGCTTGAAAATTTAGCTACATATATAAGTACAAAGCTGGTTCATCAGATCCCTGTTCTAGCCCTGGACCAAATGCATTTCAACTAAGGTATCATCTACCTTCTTCTTAATGTTTGTCAGACACTTGAATAGGTGATGTCCAGCCGCTCCTTGGAGATGGTTCCCCTTTTCAGACCCTGGCTTGCTGAACTGCTCAGAAGCCTTGTGGTCCTGGGCTCCATTGCTAGAGCCTTTACAACTTTCCAGAACCTCGATCTCTCCCTTTTCGGCCCTCCGTTTATCCTCCGTGGGTTCTGCATTTTCTTTCAGGGAGAGTCTGCTGTGGCCCTCCACAGTGGCAGTCTCTCCTTCTAGTGGAACAAGCACTCCCAGGGCACTCTCTTGGGGCCCCTGAGTCACATCTTGGCTACTGCTGGACTTTTTGAGGGGGGACTTTTTCTCTTCCAAGGCTTCAGTGACGTTCTTGGGAGCTAGGGGAACCTTTCAGTTATCTTACTCAGTCTCTTTTCTTCCTCCTTAAGTGAATCCATGAGTTATCTATGGCTGTTAGAAGCAAAGGGCTAATTTCCTCCTTTTCACAGGGAACTCATTTATGCTGGACCTTCAGATTGGTGAGTTTTTCAATCCATGTCATCGCAGCCACTATGCCTTCCACTGTCTCAGAGCCCAGAGATGATGCTTGAGGGCTAGTTCTTTCATCACAGACTCCAGTATGGCAAACGTAATGGGTTTCCTTGGCTTCTCTGATGTTCTTCACTTACTTGGTGGTGATGTTACTGTTACATCATCATAAAAACTCCAAGCCAAAGCCCATCTCATTGTCTGGCCTTGGCAGAATTCAGTGTAAGTGACTTTAGGAACCCTTTTTATGCAAAATTCTCTCTTCAGAGGAACCAGGCAGCATTTCTTTCTCAGCATACAGTTATACCACCTTAATCGCTTTTTAAGTTGTAAACTGTCATGGATGATCTTTCTAACACTGTAATTCACCTCCTTCTGCCATGATATCTGTGATACGTCCTGTATTTACAGAACTTGGTGGGCATCTTCAACGATTCCAAGAGTTTACTCCCTGAGAATAGACATAACCAAGGGCCAGGTCAGAGCCAAGGGGAGCCTGGAAAAAATAGTCTCAGCCTTGATATTATGATCAATGCCTTGATCCAACTATTCCTGAAGTCCATATATTGCTGGATTTCTCAGATACATAAACCAGTAAACTTTCTTGATACATAAATCAGTAAACATTGACCAGTAAACCAGAAGTCAATCTGGAATTGGATTTTCAGGTGCTTGATACCAGAAGCACACTAATTGATACAACTTCCAAAGTAAAAGCTGCTATTATTTTTGCAAACAAGGAAAACTTAAATATTCAACTACTTTAAAGGAGAATATATTTTATCTTGGTTTCCAACTGACTGGCAAAAAAGAGAAGGTTGCACATGCAAAAGTCACAGATTATCTCAGATTCTTCCTTAAGAGCATCCATCAGGAGTGTCTTCTGTGATACTTTTACCACCTTTATAAAATCAGATAAGTTATTCTGTTCCACACTCTTCTTTGCATAGTTGAAGCACATATCATCTACTTCTGTTGCATGAAATACCAGGCATTTAAAGTTGTTCCAAGTAAAGGATAGATGCAGGATGTCCCAGTATGGATGTCAGTTCCTCTTCAGAGACTACTTTTGTAGAGTCCTGATGACCAACCAGATCCTTAGAAGCAAAGGGCTAATTTCCTCCTTTTCACAGGGAACTCATTTATGCTGGACCTTCAGATTGGTGAGTTTTTCAATCCATGTCATCGCAGCCACTATGCCTTCCACTGTCTCAGAGCCCAGAGATGATGCTTGAGGGCTAGTTCTTTCATCACAGACTCCAGTATGGCAAACGTAATGGGTTTCCTTGGCTTCTCTGATGTTCTTCACTTACTTGGTGGTGATGTTACTGTTACATCATCATAAAAACTCCAAGCCAAAGCCCATCTCATTGTCTGGCCTTGGCAGAATTCAGTGTAAGTGACTTTAGGAACCCTTTATATGCAAAATACTCTCTTCAGAGGAACCAGGCAGCATTTCTTTCTCAGCATACAGTTATACCACCTTAATCTCTTTTTAAGTTGTAAACTGTCATGGATGATCTTTCTAACACTCTAATTCACCTCCTTCTGCCATGATATCTGTGATACGTCCTGTATTTACAGAACTTGGTGGGCATCTTCAACGATTCCAAGAGTTTACTCCCTGAGAATAGACATAACCAAGGGCCAGGTCAGAGCCAAGGGGAGCCTGGAAAAAATAGTCTCAGCCTTGATATTATGATCAATGCCTTGATCCAACTATTCCTGAAGTCCATATATTGCTGGATTTCTCAGATACATAAACCAGTAAACTTTCTTGATACATAAATCAGTAAACATTGACCAGTAAACCAGAAGTCAATCTGGAATTGGATTTTCAGGTGCTTGATACCAGAAGCACACTAATTGATACAACTTCCAAAGTAAAAGCTGCTATTATTTTTGCAAACAAGGAAAACTTAAATATTCAACTACTTTAAAGGAGAATATATTTTATCTTGGTTTCCAACTGACTGGCAAAAAAGAGAAGGTTGCACATGCAAAAGTCACAGATTATCTCAGGTTCTTCCTTAAGAGCATCCATCAGGAGTGTCTTCTGTGATACTTTTACCACCTTTATAAAATCAGGTAAGTTATTCTGTTCCACACTCTTCTTTGCATAGTTGAAGCACATATCATCTACTTCTGTTGCATGAAATACCAGGCATTTAAAGTTGTTCCAAGTAAAGGATAGATGCAGGATGTCCCAGTATGGATGTCAGTTCCTCTTCAGAGACTACTTTTGTAGAGTCCTGATGACCAACCAGATCCTGTACCCAATGAATATAGTTGAGTCTCAAGGAAACTGAAGGAGTTATTCTCTCCAGCAGAGTATCAATAGAAAGTCCAAAATCTTCCTTTAGGAGAGTACAAGTCAGAGCTCTCACTGCTTTAGTGTCTTTAAAATTACGACTCACTCTTCCATTCAGATTATCTGAACATACTGCTTAAAATCTGGATATTTGGTTGCCAGATATGCAAAGTCAGGAGGTTTATCTTTGTATCTATTTCTTGCATGCATTGATTTACCCAGAGCCACCTCTGAGGTCAAAGTTCCTGCCAGACGACTAGTCTAGTGTGGGGTTCTACAACCCCAGAGTCATAAGCCACCCGCAATGCGAGGACCCTAGAAACGAATATGTTACACTCCCAGTGTGCCGCCACCTTGGGCCTCCATTCAGCCTCCACACGTATAATCTTTAAAATAATTTCACAGCTGTCTTACCGTGTATATAGATTGATATATTGATGTTTGTTGTTACTGGGAATCTTAAAAATCTGTTCCTAACTTACGTATTTGATTTGCTGTTTTCTTTACATAATTCACAACCATTCTTTTCTGCTAGCCTAATTAATGAAGTGTCGTCTGGTATAGCTTACATTCTAGCTGGAAGGGAGGGATATTACAACTTGCTTTCCCCCCTTTAGGTGTCGTATGATGCCATCAAAATCCCAAAGTGGCCACCTCTGTCAGAAACGCACCCTGTAGATTACTACTCTTCTTATACCAAAAACTGCACCGGGACATTTACAGACACGGAAATTAAGAATATTAGAGCATTCTATTATGCTATGTGTGCTGAGACAGACGCTATGCTCGGTAAGTAGTATGATTAAAATGCAATTACATGAGGAAAAAGTGTAACATTTTTCCAACAAACTGTGATCATGCTGGTTAGTAACTTGTATGAATATCCTCAGATAATTTCTTACTTACAACAGTTGCTGAGATACTTCAGACTTAGAATTATAAGATTCCTGACACATATAAAAATTGGATAATTTGTATTATTAATAGAATAAAAGTCTTTTCTATTTTAATTATTCACAAATTCACAGATGCTTAGATTTGTTCATATATTTTTTAAAAGGTCATAAAAAATTATCATCTGCTGGAAAAAAAACATCTTACTGGATTTAATCAGGAATCAGTATTCAGCCAAACACTGTTAATTATAAGGCAACTTCAGTTCTAGGAGATGAAACAAATTAGACATAGAATCTTGTGACTTCTCTCAGACTTGTAATAATTTCAAAACACATCCATTCTCCCTATGCCAGTTAGAGCAAGACCTAAACTGAAATTAGTTTCCCCATGTACATTATGGTCCAGAATTATATTGAATTTCCTCCCCTAACTCAGCTCAGAACCAAACCTGCATCCATGAGATAACCATCAAGATGGTGTTTTACTTGTCCACTTATAGAGTTATGGAAATTTCCCACTCAGATGTGGAAAAATCCTGGTTTAAAAAAAAATCTCCATTTCTAGGACAAATTATTTTTATAAAACCATATCATTAACTTTGCTGCACTTTGGAGTAGAGAATAATTATAATTGGTGAAGTGTGGGTAGCACTTCTTCTGAACAAAGTAAACCTTGGGAGTGAACAAGTAAATGGCTACTCTTAAAAAGCATTCACTGCGCAAAAATAGAAAGTATAAAACATAAAGTGAAAAAAAAGCCGTATGGATAAACTATAATAAAGCAAGTATAATGTGTATTAAAATCCTAAGCACTTTCCAAGTACTCAGTCTTAAATACAAATAAGATTTTAAGTGAATTTCTTCAATCCTAAATCCATGGTTACTGAACTGTATTTCAATATTTTCTAATATTAATGAATATTCACTCATTTGCTCCCTGGAAATCACTTTTGAAAGTTTGCAGCTATCCATTCATCCAGATCAACAAAAGTGAAATATTATATATACATAAAATACTGCTGCAGGCAGTGTGGGAATACCTTTGAAGTCTCTTAAGAGAAAAAAGATACAACAGTTCACTTCATGTTACAAAATTTATGGAATATATTGTATCTCTTTGTTACATCTATACTAGTCTGGTCCCTGAATAGTATTCATTACTATTCACATGGGGCTTCCCAGGTGGCGCTAGTGGTAAAGAACCCGCCTGCCAATGCAGGAGACACAAGAGACACGGGTTCAGTCCCTGGGTCAGGAAGATCTCCTGGAGGAGGGCATGGCAACCCACTCCAGTACTCTTGCCTGGAGAATTCCATGGACAGAGGAGCCTTGTGGGCTGCAGTCCATGGGGTTGCAAAGAGTTGGATACAACTGAAGCGACTTACCATGTCCTGTTCACATTACTCTGGGCACTGTTAGTATTAAGCTAAACATTATTAAGAAATTAAAAGCACTCTAACCTCTTACCCCACCTCAGGCCTTTATATTTGCTGCTCCTTCTGCCTGGGATTTGAGAAGGAAATGGCAACCTACTCCANATCTGGTCACAATCCCTAACAAACTAATATTTATTTAGAGTTTTTTTTTTTTTAATAAACTCTGTGGTTTTATGTCCACAGAGAATCTCAGCTCCTTTGCCTGTTTTAAGGCATACCAAGGTAGTCTTTTTTTTTTTTTTTTTTTTTTTTGCCCCACAAAACTTTGCAGGATCTTAGTTTCCTGACCAGAGACTGAACCCAGGCCCCTGGCAGTGGAAGTGTGGAGTCCTAACCATTGTACTGCCAGGGAGTTTCTGGAGTATTCTGTCTTTAGCTGTCAGCTCAGATCTTACCTCCTCAGAGCTATCTTCCCAGCCACTCTAAATTAGTATAGCAGCTCCGTCATCGTCCTTACTCTATTCCATATCATCTTGTTTGTTTACGTCATAATCCTTGATGATTTTGTCTACTTAGTTCTTTACTGTCCATTTCCCTTGAAGAATGTGGACATTCCTTCTCATTCATGATTGCATCCTAGGTGTCTAACTTTGCATCCCTGGTGCCTGGCACATAGGTAAAAAGTCAGTAAACATTTATTGAATGAGTATAAACACCAGCGGTAATAACATAGTGTTGTAACTACAGCAGTATACAAGTTATAGGGTCCTGGGGACAGAGGACTACACTCTACCTGGAGGAACAGGGATGCTTCACCAGGGAGGTGATGCTTGAGCTGGGTCATAAAGAAAGAATGGGGATTTGTCATGTAGACTGTGGCAGAAAGGGTATCCAACACAGAAGGCAGAGAGTGTATACAAAAGCAAGGAAGTCCAAACTAATTATTATTAGTTCAGGGAGTTGTAAGTCATTCAGGATTGTGAAAGGTAAAGATTTAGGGGGTAACTAGCTGAAGGTGCTAAACTTCCTCAAGAATTAGACAGTGGGAAGCTGTGGAAAAGTTTTAAGCTGGGATGATATGATCAGATAGTTTAGAAAGGTATTATGAAGGGGAAAAAGGAGTGCAGGCAAGCAAAGCAATTAGGAAGCAAGTACAGTTGTCCAGTTGAAAGATACTGATGGTCTGAACCCCATAAATAACTCCTCAGAGACTGGGTCTCAGATCTGACTGGACCTCATAATTGCCTATGGGTTTTGTATATATATTTTTAAAATAATACAGACCCCTGCAGGCCAGATTCAGAAGCTGCCAAAATAGAAATGATGCTTCTCTCTAGACTTGTGTCTTACTGTGTTCTCTTAATTAAAATGAGGAGGAAGTTTCATGTCCCTTAGAGACAGGACTGGTCAGAGGAATTTTACTGTCCAAGAATATGCCACATAACACTCATATATCATCTGTACTGCTACCAGCCTTTTTTCCAAAGGTGGGATTTCCAGAAGACTCAGCCAGCTTCATGGGCATGATCTAGTGATGGGGAAATTGAGAGAAAGGGTATCAGGAGGAAGATTTCTGACCCCTTTTATCCCCTCCCGTTGGGCAGCAATTGTGGGTCAATGGTGACACCAGTCCTTCCCTGAGATGTGCACAGCGCTGATACCCATGCATGCCTTTCTATTCTCATTCGAGTCCCTGGAGGTAATGTTTTCCCCTACTCCCTGACAGAAACACAGAAAGCAAGCCAGGACAATCTCCAAATAAAGAAACTTACCCTTAGGTACTGCATTTTCTCCTTCCTCTCTCTAGTCCATTCACTGGGAAGCAAGCACATGAAATCTGGCATAAGTTATTTACTGAAGAACAGTAGATAACGTTCAGATGTTAAGAAGCATGGTGACAAATTCTTAGAGGGTAGAATCATTTTGAGCTTATTATGATAGAAAAAAAAGTGAGCTAAAAGCTAATTAAGACTTACTTCGATATATATTGCAGGTGAAATTATTTTGGCTCTTCGCCAGTTAGGTCTTCTTCAGAAGACTATCGTCATATACACCTCAGACCACGGGGAGTTGGCCATGGAACACCGACAGTTTTATAAGATGAGTATGTACGAAGCTAGCTCCCATGTCCCACTCTTGATCATGGGGCCGGGAATTCAGGTCAACCTGCAAGTATCAAGTGTGGTTTCTCTTGTGGATATTTACCCTACTATGCTTGGTAAGTAATGCCATTCTGTGTATATTTATTTGTAATAATGCTAGGAAATGAATAAGCAAAAGAGTTAAGGGCCCCTGCTGACTTGTTCATAACTTTGAGCAACTGATTTAACTGTGAGTCAAATCTATATCTGAAAAATGAGGATAATATTCCTCAGGTTCCTTTGGCCTTCACTTCCTCTAGTCCTTCTTCCTCCAAAAGATTCACAACCAGGATATGACAATAAAGTAAGCCACATAAGATATTCAGTTCTATAACTTTACAGATATGATTTGCGTATCATTTGATTCTATCATCCCCAACCTAAAAGGCATTTCCCTTCTGATTATTCCATCTACTTTGAAACTACTAATTTTTCACAATGTTACATATGTCTGTTAATGTTAATACTATGTGCCTATTTCTCCTCAGAATCTTTAGGTTGTTCTGTATGATTTATTTTACTAGCTTCTTAATGTCTATAAGCATAACCATAGGTCTGGAACAGCAACATTTGATGTAAGTATTTATCAATTTTTGTTAAAGATACTAGAATAAAGCCATCATAAATTTAGAAGAAATTATATAGAACTGTTATCTTCTAATTTAGAGGGGACTTTAAATTCAGTAACATCAAATGCTCTGTTCTAACGCACCATAAATTGCAAAAAGTACCATCAATTTATAAATAGATTTTGGTGAAAGAAAAATGCAACATAGCATAAGATATATGTGTTTAATAGATATACATTAAAATGTGAAACAAACATATCTGGAAATTAAAGAAATAAGAAAAATCTTATTATCTCCCTTTTTGCTGCTACAAAGGCTTCACTTTCATTTAATTAAAGACTGTTACAGGGTCTTAAATTTCTTTATTGTGCATCTAAATTAGTGCTGGGAATTCCCTAGTGGTCCAGTGGTGAGGACTCTGCACTCCCTGTCATTGCCAAGGTCCCAGGTTGAATCCCTGGCTGGGGAACTAAACTCCCACAAGCCTCACAGCCAAATTAAAAAAAAAAATCAGTGCCATCCTTTTCTCTTTCACATCACTTGCATATTTGACCACACTTCTTTGTTGTTCTTTTGCCTAGTGTGTATTTTTAATCTCTCCATTTTCTTGCTCGTCATTTGCTGGCTCCCTTTTGTCCCAAAGCAATTATCACACAGTCATATCTTTGCCACTTTCTGGCTCCATCAATTTCCAGGCAATACCTATTACTTTTCCTCACTTCTGTTTTTCATTCAAAAATGTGTGTGTGTGATCATGTATATTTTAAGTGTCTCCCTTATTATCATCTTTGTAGCTGCAGCTATATGAATGATTCTTTACAGTGGCATTTCCTTTGTTTCCTCCCCTAGTTTTTTCTCATATGGAACTTTCCCCACCCAAATTTGCTGAACTTTTTACCCTTGTTCTGCTTTCTTGAGGTACAGTGATCAGAACTGCAAAAGATTATTAAAGGTTGGGATGATTCTTTCTCAGTTTTCCTTCAATGTATTTCATAGTGATAATTTGGCATTTTGTCTTCTTTGACTTAGCAGCTAAATAGTCCAGTATCTGTAGGAAGCTGTCTGTGATGAGTTCTCATCTCTTTCTAGTCATTCTATCACTTTATGTGTTAGTTAATTAATAGGCACTATTTAAATCATTTTTCTTTGAATATTGTTTTATATTTACCTATAATGCAAATTTTCTCTACAATCTTGATACACCATTATCACTACTTGCCAACCTCATGAAAGTTAAAAATCATCTGCAAACTGGAAGATTTCCTAATGTATGTATCTTAACAGCTTATTTAAGAAAATACTAAATAAAGTTGTTTGGAATGAGGGAATTATCATTTATCCACCTAGGGGGACACCTTCCTATCCTTGCCTATTTTATGTTACGTGACAATAAACATTTCTTTAGCCAAACAAAACATTCCCAGAAACCCCTTTGCATTTCTTCCATACTCTTCTGGAAATTATGTTAAGTTCCCTGAAATTGTAGATTTTTTTTTCTATAATTTGTCAGTTATTACAGTCTTTAAAAACTCATAGGTCTACATAGGTTTTTGTTGTTTTTATCTTTGGCGTTTGTTAGTAGACTCCTTCTGAGTCACATTTCCCAGCAGAATATGTTATATTAACAGCATTTACATCATGTGTTGATTAGACCTGCCCAACTCAAGTAAGTAAAGCCAAAGATCAGTGTCTCTCCAGTTCTAAACAGGAAATTAACATTTTCAAGGCTTGATGTGTTTCATAATGAATATTTTTATTATGAAAAGGGAAAAATTACAGTTATATGGTTGGCAGAGGAGAATGAAGAGAATATCTAGGCATGGAACTTTATAACACTGAAGCATCCTATTAACCAAATGTTAATCAGAGATAAGGTAGAAACAGAAAGATGCAAGGGGGAGCCTTAGGGGACTTCCCTAGAGGTCCACTGGTTAAGACTCTGTGCTTCCACTGCAGGGGGTGTGGGTTTGATCCCTGGTCCAGAAACTAAGATCCCATACATGCCACACATCAAGACCAAAAAATAAAAAAACAAGAACGTTTTCTGGAGCTGGGAAACAACATGTAAAATTATTTATCTAAAATTAACCTTTTTATAAGTGATAAAAGGTTAATATTAATAGAATTCTCACCAATCTATGAAAAAGAGACTTACCTTATTAACAAACTGACCAGAATATATAAATAAGCACTTCACAACAGAAAACATACAAATGGCCAAGATATTTTTAGAACTTCAAACTCAGTAGTCAGAAAAATATTAAAACAAGAAGACACTATTTTTCTTTCACACATAGAGTTTGCAAAGATTCTTTTAAAAAGCAGAAAAGCTCATGTTGAAAACATGCCTTCTCATGTTCCGCTGCTGGGAGTATAAACTGGCACAGATTTCCTGGAGGCAAATGTGGCATTATGTTCCAAATTACTTAGAAATAGGCATATATTTTGACCTAGAAAATTCCAATTTTAGGAATTCACCTATTCAGTTCAGCTCAGTTGCTCAGTCGTGTCCGACTCTTTGAGACCCCATGAACCGCAGCATGCCAGGCCTCCCTGTCCATCACCAACTCCCGGAGTTTACACAAACTCATGTCCATCGAGTCGGTGACACCATCCAGCCATCTCATCCTCTGTGATCCCCTTCTCCTCCTGCCCCCAATCCCTCCCAGCATCAGGGTCTTTTCCAATGAGTCAACTCTTCGCATGAGGTGGCCAAAGTATTGGAGTTTCAGCTTCAGCATCAGTCCTTCCAGTGATTATTCAGGACTGATCTCCTTTAGCGTGGACTGGTTGGATCTCCTTGCAGTCCAAGAGACTCTCAAGAGTCTTCTCCAACACCACAGTCCAAAAGCATCAATTCTTTGGCACTCAGCTTTCTTTATGGTCCAACTCTCACATCCATACCTGACTACTGGAAAAACCATAGCTTTGACTAGGCAGACTTTGTTGTCAAAGTAATGTCTCTGCTTTTTAATATGCTGTCTAGGTTGGTCATAACTTTTCCTTCCAAGGAGCAAATGTCTTTTAATTTCATGGCTGCAATCACCATCTGCAGTTATTTTAGAGCCCCCAAAAATAAAGTCTGACACTGTTTCCACTGTCTCCCCATCTATTTCCCATGAGGTGATGGGACCAGATGCCATGATCTTAGTTTTCTGAATGTTGAGCTTTAAGCCAACTTTTTCACTCTCCTCTTTCACTTTCATCAAGAGGCTCTTTAGTTCTTCTTCACTTTCTGCCATAAGGGTGGTGTCATCTGCATATCTGAGGTTATTGATATTTCTCCCGGCAATCTTGATTCCAGCTTGTGCTTCTTCCAGCCCAGCGTTTCTCATGATGTACTCTGCATATAAGTTAAATAAGCAGGGGGACAATATACAGCCTTGACATACTCCTTTCCTGATTTGGAACCAGTCCGTTGTTCCATGTCCAAATTAACCTATAGATGCACACAAAGATTTATCTCCATGGATAATATTACATTATATTAAAGAATTAGAAACAGTATGAATATCTCGTAGTGATGAACTGGGTTAAAAATAGTCAATTTTATTTTAAAAAGTGAAATGATAAATGACAATGGCCCCCTTGTATTATTGAAAAAAAAACTGTAGGCTTTTAAAGTATATAAATGGTTTTTTGTTTTGGTGTGGTTTATTGGTTATTGAGATAAAGTATCTACCTAATTTATTGTCCAAATCAGCACATTTTTTTTAGAGTAAAAGGATACTATTAAGAATTAAACCAGGATGAGCATAAACTGAGTCTGTTGCCTTATTTAAACAGCCTTACCAGTCAGCAAGGCAAAGATAATTCTGATGGTCTGGGTTTAATCTGATGTTTAACTCAGCCTTTTAAAATGAAAGCATTTAGAGTTTAAAGGTACTTTTAGTAGTGATTAATACCTCTAAAATTAGACCTGTGTATTCTATCTAAGCTTAATAAACATACAGATTTTGATAAAGTGTCTCTAAAGGACTTCTTATTTTGTGATTCTTCCTAACCAGTTAGAAGCTTAAAACAGACATAATCTATTCTGAGACTTCCAAAGGTCCCTTCTATATTACCGTAGCCATACATAGCTGTATTGTTTTGTATGAATCCAATTTATACAGAATATGGGGTTAAATTTCTCAGATCAAAACCTCAAGCCAGACTTCCTCTTCCCTTCCATTCTTCGAATGTTAGAAATATAGACTCAAAAACCTTAAGTAGAAAGATGTTAAATAGGAAAAACCAATTGGTATTCCTGTTTTTAGTAAAGTACCTTACTGTAAAAAACCTGTTGAAATTTAAGATGGTACAATGTTTTTATTAAAAACATTGAATTTACGAACAGTTTTTTAAAGATATTTTGGAAGAGTGATTATTTTCTATGAACTGATATTTGATGATAAAGTAGGAAGAGTTCTTTTAGTCTAAGTATCTTTGTAGGCCCTATCCCATTGTCATTTTTCTAGGACTGGCAGAAAAGTGCCATCTCTCTGAACAGGAATTCTTTATACTGTTAATATCACTAATTCAGAGATTATGCTTTAAAAAGTACTCCCCAACCTGTGATAAACCATAATGGAAAGGAATATGAAAAAAGAATATGTATGTATATGTATAAGAGAATCACTTGGCTATACAGCAGAAATTAACACAACATTGTAAGTCAGCTATACTTCAATAAAATAGTTTTTTTTTAAATAATTATTCTCCAAAATATTTTCTTCTCTAATAATCTAGTATCAGCATCCTTTAGCTCAGTTAGAAATAATATAATTTTTAAATTAAAATTGTCTTGACATTCTCTTTTAAACTTCTTATGTTCTTGTGAATTTTTTTCATTTAATAGCTGGCCTTTTTAAAAATAGCTACCTTCTTTTCACATAAAGGATAAATCCAGGATCTGTTTAAACTGTGAAAATGTAATTGTATAGAAATGCGGTTGTGTTTAAAAGAATGCTTCAATACTAATGATTTAAATTGCAAAACCTTCCTTGTTACAGGATCTTAGTGAAGGGTTGGGAGGGTCATTCTACATAGATTATTTTGTCTTAATTGGCTGAAAAATACTGTAAAATTGAGTAACTATAGTAGATCCAGACTTGTGGAGCAGTACTGAAGACTCCAGAGATCCTGGAATCAGACTGCCTAAATTCAAATACCTCCTTTAGCATTTACCAACTGTATACCCTTGAGACAGAAACTTAACATGTCTTGGTCTTTAGTTTTCTTATCAATAAAATGGAAATAACAGTGACTGTTCCATAGCCTAGAACAATGACTGGATAAATGGTTAAATGTGAGATATTATTAACATTAATATTTTTATATTAATAGTATTTAATATTTTATGTTATTTAATATTTTTATATTAATGTCACTAAGCTGTGTCTGACCCTTTGTGACTCTGGACTGCAGCCGCCAGGCTCCTCTATCCATGGGATTCTCCAGGCCAGAATACTGGAGTGAGTTTGCCATTTCCTACTCCAGGGGATCTTCCTGACCCAGGGATCAAACCCACGTCTCCTGCATCACCATGCAATAGTTACCACATAAACCATGACAGGGTTCTGTTCAAAATCACTTAGAGTAAAATCCAGAATCTCTGATTAGACCTGTGAGTCCAACATGATTTCTTCCTCCCCCCAACTCATCTCAAACAACTTTACCCTCACGTATTCTGCTCCAGCCGTGCAGGACTCCTTAGTGTTTGGGGAGCAGATAGGATGAAGCAGCTTCCTGCCTCAGTGTTTACATGTGCTGTTCCCTGGGGAAAGGCCCTTCCTCTCCACTTCCAGAGATCTACTGGGCTCACCATAGCCCTTTCTCCCCAGGTCTCTGTTTACGTCGCTGCAGCAGAGAGGCCTCCCCTGACCATCCTTATAACACAGCGCACACACACATTCCTGCCATCACTCTCTAGCCCTCTTACCCATCTTTATTTTTCTCCATTGCACTGATCACCATCTGGCATGTTTGTCTGCCTCCCCACGTGAGAATGTAAGCTCCTAGAGTCTGAGGGAGCGTGCCTGCTTTGTCCACTGTTGCTTCCCTACATCTGGAATAGCAACTAGCTTGTTAGTAGTGTACTGTGCTCAGTAGCTCAGTCGTGTCTGACTCTTTGCAACCTCACGGACTGTAGCCCGCCAGGCTCCTCTGTCCATGGGATTTTCCAGGCAAGAATACTGGAGTGGGTTGCCATTTCCTGCTCCAGGGGATCTTCCCAACCCACGGATCGAACTTGCCTCTCTTGTGTCTCCTGCATTGGCAGCTGGATTCTTTACCACTGTGCTACCTGGGAAGCCCCTTGTTAGATAAGTTAAAAAAAAAATTAATACTTAAATGGATTCTTATCCCAGTTTAAACACAGAATTATTTAAATTTTCTTGGTCTAACAAGTTTCTTTAGGAAAATTAGGCTAAGTTTAGATCTGAAATAAGGCATTTCTAAGTATTAAGTTGATTAAGATGCTAAATACAGGAAACTTCCCAGTCGGTCCCTGCTTTCCAGCCATCTCCAAAGCCCTTTTCCCCTTCCTCTGCCTCCCAGTGGTGTGCGCTGACAGCTGACGCACTGACCAGCCGGACCCAGCCTGTTCCCGGGCCACTTTCTTCTTACAGTGAAAGGGAAGTCGCTCAGTCGTGTCTGACTCTTTGCGACCCTATGGACTGTAGCTCCCCAGGCTCCTCCGTCCATGGGAGTTTCCAGGCAAGAATCCTGGAGTGGGTTGCCATTTCCTTTTCCATGCCTTACAGTAGACCTAGAGCCAGACATCATGGAATGTGAAGTCAAGTGGGCCTTAGAAAGCATCACTAGGAACAAAGCTAGTGGAGGTGATGGAATTCCAGTTGAGCTATTTCAAATCCTGAAAGATGATGCTGTGAAAGTGCTACACTCAATATNTCCAGGAAAGTCCTGGGCCATCTTTTCTCTTGTGCATCTTGTGCATTTTCCTTCTTTAACATCTTTGCTCTTTCTTCTTCTTTTGTTTTTAACCAGTTATTTCAAATATTTCTCTTTATTTCCTTTTACTTGTCCTTTCATTCTTTCTCAAAAAAAGTCCCTGAGGGTTGATGGTTGGCAGAAGGTTAGGACTTGTAATATGCCCCTTACAAGGAAATAGAAGATACAATTTTTTTAAAATTAAGTTATATGTAAAAGAAGTCCCTTTAGAAGATTCATAGAGGCCTTTGTCTACTTTCTTATTCTCTTTCAATTAATCTGGTTTGCCTCACATACCTTTATGTGTGTGCTCAGTTGTGGCCAACTCTTTGCAACCCCATGCACTGTGGCCTGCCAGGCTACTCTGTCCATGGAATTTTCCACCCAAGAATACTGGAGTGGCTTGCCATTTCCTTCTCCAGGAGATCTTCCCAACCCAGGGATCAAACCTGGGCCTCCTGCACTGACAGGTGAATTCTTTATACCACTGAGCCACCTGGGAAGCTCACTCAAATATGTACAGTCAAGCTAAAATATTTTTCTTATTTTTCTTGTTTAATTTCTAGCATTGCAGATATATTACTTTCTACTTTTCATTGGAAATATAATTATTTCTGAGTTAATGTTTCTAAAAACATGGAACATTGAAATCAGAGAACTGTGGGGGAGGCAACTGCAGACTCCTTTTGGAACTACCCCAAGTCCCCAGCCATAATTAACAGTAATTTTTTTTTTTCATGGCCTGCAAGATCTTAGTTTTCCTACCAGAATTGAACCTGGCTGCCTGGCAGTGAAATCACAAGAGTCCTAACCACTGGACTCCCAGTGAATTCCCTATTTTTCTATAGGAAATTCCAAGCAAATGCTTTTAAACCACTTTAAAAAAATACTGCCTCTTTTTTAAGTTAGACATTTCTCATGCTTTGTTTTTTGTATCTATATTTGATACGGAAAAAATAGATTATTTTTCTCTAAATCAGTATGATCCAGGATTTCCCAACATATGTTCTGCAAAATATTAGTCCCTCAAGATGCTACTTAGAAATAAACAGAAATTCTGTCATCAAATAACTTTGGGATACATGGCACACCATATACCTTGAAGATTTATGATACACATCAGCAATAAATCTACATCTACAATAAATTTATTTAATTTTAACCATTGTTTGCAAACATATGTAACTACTAGACTCCTTTTTCATATACATTTTGTTAATATTCTGTGGAACAAATCTGTGAGATACCTGGGATCTCTTAATCATTCAGAAATGAAGGATTTATGATATTAACTAATATCTGTTGAGGGTTTCCTATGTGTCAGGCCCTATGCTCAGAATTTTACATAAGTTATCAGATTTAAACCTAAAATAGACCTGTGAAATACAGGCACTATTATTATTTCCCTTTTACAGATGAAGAAACTGAGGTTCAGAATGGTTAACATCATGCCCAAAGTCACAGGCTGGGAAGTGAGCATTTGAGTCTAGGCAGTCTATTTACAAAATCTATATACAATCTTTAGTCTCTGTGACCTTTAATGATGTCATTTATCAATGTTCAACAAATAAAAGAATGACTTATTTTAAAATCCTGTGTTATTTTGGGACTTCCCTGGCTACCCAGTGGTTAAGACTCCACGACTCCAATGCAGGGGGCACAGGTTCCACCCCTGGTCAGGGATCATCCCACATGCTATGGGATGCAACCAAAAAAAAAGAGTCTTATTTTTGTCATGTAGATATTGCTGGAATTCCTCTGCCTCAGAACCTGAGCGGATACTCTCTGCTGCCATCAGCATCAGAAATGTTTAAGAATGAACAAAAATTCAAAAACCTACATCCACCCTGGATTCTGAGTGAATTCCATGGATGCAATGTAAATGCTTNGGTTGCTTCCATGTCCTGGCTATTATAAACAGTGCTGCGATGAACATTGGGGTGCACGTGTCTCTTTGAGATCTGGTTTCCTTGGTGTGTATGCCCAGAAGTGGGATTTTAACGTTCCCCTCAACCCTGCAAGATGATGTGCTGTGTGCTCAGTCGCTTCAGTTGTGTCTGACTCTTTGAGACCCATGGACCATAGCCCACCAGGCTCCTCTGTCCAGGGTACTTTCCTGGCAATACTGGAGTGGGTTACCATGACCTCTTCTGGGGGATCTTCCCAACCCAGGAATTGAACCTGCATCTCTTGCATCATAGGTGGATTCTTTACCTGCTGAACCATTGGGGAATCCCCTCCAAGATGATATTATCATCCTTATTTTATAGAGAAGATTAGGGTTTGAAGACTAGGGTTCAGTTACCTATGAAAAGTCTCACAGTTAAGAAGTGGAAAAGCTTGGGATTTTCAACACAGGTCTGACTTTCAAATCCATGCTCCTTCTCCCCTACAAAAACCTGGTAGAATCACTACTCTGAATTTGTTTTCAAGCAGTAATATTAGATTTATGGTTCTACTTATTCTTTACCACCTTTTTGCACATAAAATATGTGCTTAAGCTATTTTTAATATTCCTTTTTCCCTAAGCTTTTTCCCAGTTATAAATGCCAAAATTATTAATTCAAAATAATTCTTTAGAGGCTGAACTGATTGACCCCTCCTTCTCTAAAAGGAGGAGATTCTTGGCTTCAAAAATGTACTGAAGTTTTCATTCTGTTGAATAATGGGCATCTCTTGTTCATTCATTATTTATGTTCTGCAAAAAGCAGATATGACTATCAAAGAATCAGAGGGGGAGCCTGCCATTCCTGTATTCTCTAGGGTTTATTCACTGATTTTCCTTTCTCAGAGAGGTGCCATCTGAAATCACCCAGCAAAATCATGAGTGTCATCAGCAGTCTTCTGGCTCATGCACTCAAATAAGCCTGTAGGGGTTTTTCCCTCACTGTGCATTCATTGTTCTTTTACTGTCTTAGGCTAATTGGCATAAAAGCTTCAATTTGCTATTTTTCTGACTAGGTTGGCATTCTACCTGTCAGAGGTTGGCATATCCTCTCTTTTCCTACACTGTAGGTCAAAGGAGTGTTTATGTTATCTGAAATGTTTATCATTATTTTCTCGATGGTAGTGATTGAGAGTTCTTATTTCCATGACTATTTGCTCAAATAGTTATCACTGAATGTGATTTTCAAAAATCCAAGCATAGGTTGCAAATGTATTTGAAAACAAACAAAAAACCTAGGAGTAAGGGAAGTTGCAAGAACATGACTCGGCTATATAAAGAATTCCTACAGCTCGAACATTTGGGCCTGTTGAAATGGAACAATATAAGCATTAATATATATATTTTTTTGCACATCAAAGTAAGCAATGTATCAAAAACAGAAAGAACTGAGGCTAAGCCGGCCTACTAGTTTGACTGTTTCTGCCATCTAAGAATAGGTAAAGGGAAAAATGTGATAGTAGGATGATGATAAGAAGGAAGAGACATATATTTAGAAAGGCATTTAACTTTTGGTATATTAAGTTTCCATTTATACCATCCTTCAGCTTACTACACTAAGAAGAACTGAAAATAAAAATAAACTATACTGCATTATCTGTTACAGAGTAATGACATTCTAAAAAATATTTTTTAAGCTGGTAACTTTTGACAGTTATTCAATTTTTTTTTTCTTTCAGATCTTTCCTCAGATCCAGATGAATTAACAAATATTGCTGCAAAATTTCCAGAAGTTACTTCTTCTTTGGATCAGAAGCTTCGTTCCATTATTAACTACCCTAAGGTTTCAGCTTCTGTCCACCAATACAATAAAGAGCAGTTTATCAAGTGGAAACAAAGTATAGGGCAAAACTATTCAAATGTCATAGCAAACCTTAGGTGGCATCAGGACTGGCTGAAAGAACCAAAGAAGTATGAAAATGCCATTGATCAGTGGCTTAAGTCCCACTCTGATCCAAGAACAATTTGAACAACAAAAAAGAAAAGAGTGTTTAAGAGTTATATAGAAATATGTACAAAATCATGATTCATTATACATTTTAAATGTTACTTTTAATAATTACTGATTTTAAATTAAAGAATGTACTCTTTTAAGATACCAATCATTATAGAATAATATATTTTCAAAATGATTACTATCAAGACCTTACTCTTACCAACTTCTAACAACTTAAAGGGAGTATTAAAAGGATGGAAACAAATACTAGAACATAAAGTTGTGTTCCTCTGAATATTATGGAATATAGAATATTTTAACCATTACTAAAATTATTACTTATGAACCATAAAATAGTTAGTTTTGAGTATTTGATGGTGTATGATGAGTTATTTTTATCTGATTGGACATAGATCATTTGAATGTATTTGATGGGAGAATTTGGAGTATTTTATGGGACACAGACCATGGATATGGCTGATTTTATTCAAATTTTTTTAATAGGCAAAATATATGCACAAGGTATAAATTTCAAAAAGGTACTAAAGGGTTAGCAATGAGTGTGAAGTCTCTTTTCTTTTCCAATCCCTCAACCATCCAGTTCTCCTTTTTGGAGATAGCTACTGTAACCGCCTTCCTGTGCATCCTTTGAGAGACAGCACTGCCCCACCCCCAACAAATGGTAGCATACCATGCAAAATACCTTGCTCTCTTTTTCTCCACTTTAACAAAGACATCTAGAAGTGACATTGCTGGGGCAAGACTATATCTAGCAAAATTACTCTAGACACTCCTATATTAACCCTACAAAAGTTATACCAATTTATATTCTCACTAGAAATATGTGTCCTCACATTTATTGCCAGTTGGTCAGATATAAAATATCTTATTGTTATTTTCCTTATTATGTGTAAGGAAGATCATATTTTCATATTTTTAATGGCCATTGGAATTTTCTTTACCATGACCTTTTCCTTTTATATACTTTGCCTATTTTCTGTTGGTTATTTGTCTTTGTTATTACAGGCATACTTTAGATATTAGCTCTCTGTCTGTTAGAGAAGCTGCAAATATTTTTTTCCTTTTCATAATTTGTATTTTGACTAGTGCCCTAGTGTTTGTTGACATGTAGAAATTGGTTTTTCATGCAGTCTGATTTATGAATCTTTGCTTTTGTGGCTTTGGGATTTTGTGTCATATTTAGAATGGCTTTTCCTACCTATCTTCATTTAGTTTTATTTTTCCCTCTTAGATTTTTAACCCATGGAATGTATTACATATTAGAGATCTAACTTTACCTTTTTTTTTTTTAAGATGGCCACCCAATTGACCTCTTATTGAGAAAAGTAATATTCATTCCATCGGTTAGAAAATGCCACTTTGCTATATAACAACTTTAATTGAATAAATGATCTTTTCCTCTATTGATCTGAAATGACATTTTTATTATATACAAGTCACACTGACATTTGGGTCCTTTCAAAACATTTCTTACTTTGCAGTGGACCATTCTATTTTGTTTATAGATGGGGTAGGCAATATCTGGTAGGTGAATCAGTTTTCTTTTCCAGAATTGTCCGGGCTATTCTTGTTTATTTATTTTTCTTACATAAATCTAGAATCAACCTGTCTAGTTCCAAAAATGAAAAATCTTGGTAGTCTTTTTATGATATCATACTAAGTGTATAGCCTAATTTAGGGAGAACTGAATTTTTTATGATATTCAGTTATTCTAAAGAATATAGTATACTTTCCCCTTTCTTTAAGACTTTATACCACTCAATAGTATGCTAAGTTTTCTTCATATAGATCAGTATCTTCATAGACATTTTTAGGAAGTAGGGACCTTTAAAAAATGCCACCTAGGCCTCAACCCTGTGCTTCCCAGGTGGCGCCAGTGGTAAAGAACCTGCCTGCCAAAGCAGGAGACATAAGAGACATGGGTTCAACCCCTGGGTCAGGAAGATCCCCTGGAGAAGGATGTGGGAACCCACTCCAGCATTCTTGCATGGAGAATCTATCTCATGGACAGAGGGGCTTGGTGGGCCACAGTCCATGGGGCCGCAAAGAGTCAGACATGACTGAAGCGGCTTAACTCAGACCCCGCCCCACAGCAGTGGGATTAGAATTCCAGGGATGGCACCTGAGCAGTTTTGTTCTTGCTACTGTTTTGTTTGTTAAGCCGCCCGGCAGATGATCCTAATGTGTAGCCAGAGGTGACTTTATTCCTAGCTATTTTATCATTTGATGGTATTTTATCATCTGTGCTATTTTAAATTAATGCTTCTTCCATTGTATCTTCTAACCAGTTATTTATATATGCAAACTCTATGTCTATATATTTACTTTATGCCAATAATACATTTTTGTACCAGTAATTTTCCAGTTGGTATCTTATAGTCTTCAGGTAAAAAGTCTATCTGCAAATAACACTTTTACCTAATTCCTTTTTAACCTAACTTCCCTTTTCAAACTGTCTTAGAAGTTTTCTTCATGAGCCAGTTCATCTCCTTTGTTTATTGTTCTTCAGTGAATTTGTATGAGCTTATCTTTGCATTTATGTATGAATTTCTCAGAAATAAATTTCACTTTATATGTATTCTGAAGTAAAACTATTAAGAGAGATTTCAGTACTAGATTATTGAGGTTAAAATTAAAATATACAAATATACCTCCTATCTCCTAACTGAACCTAAGGGATATAAAATTGTCTAATGTGTGATATATATGTTATTATAGGGAAAAATAAAGCAATAATAATAGAAATGTGATTCTGAAAACATGGGCATATAAAGATAAATATAATCCACCTCATTCTATTCAAACACCTTAAGATGCATTCATTGTTAGAATTTACCAAGCATCTACAATGTTTTAATCATATCCAACATAGCTTCTCTGGTGCCTCAGTTGGTAAAGAATCCGCTTTCAATGCAGGAAACTGCCTGCAACGTAGGAAACCCAAGTTCAATCTCTGGGTTGGGAAGATCCCCAGAGAAGAAAATGGCAACCACTCCAGTATTCTTGCCTGGAAAATCCCACAGACAGAGGAACCTGATGAACTACATGGGGTCACAAGGGTCAGACACGACTTAGCAACTAAACCACCACCACCAATATAGGATCATAATTAGGTAAAATTACGTTTTAGGACTGTATCTAATCCAAAATGGTATCTTAACAACCAAGAAAGCAAAAAAAAAAAAGAAGAAGAACTTGCAAAACCAAGGCAAATCATCTAATGCCAGAGTCTAAGAGGACCTGACACTAATTAATAGCTGGACTGAGGACAATCTTTAGGCTTTGTCTTTTACTGCTACCACCCTCTTCCAGTTCACCATAATCTGTTGTTTGGAATTTTGCAATAGCCTCTTAGGAGGTCTCCCTGAATCTGCCCTTGGCTTTTCTCAGTCTCTTCTCAACATAGCAGTCAGAGTGATTCTGTTAAGATATAGCAGATCACACTGATGGATACTCAAACCTTCCACTGGTTTCTCACTTTACTCTGTAAAAACCTGTTGACTGAAAGAAAAAAAAAAAAAGAAGCACAACCTAGAAGTTGAGAATTATATTTTATTGGCAGACTTGCTGAGGACCTAAGCCCAGCAAGCAGCCTCTCAGATAGCTCTGAGGGAGAGACTGCCCCAGAGAGGTAAGGGAAGAGCCAGGTTATATAGGAGTTTTTGCAACAAAGAAGCAGGCAGTAGGAACATCAAAAGACTGTGTTAGAGAAAAACAGACGTTTCAAGTTAATAAATTTAGCACTTGTCTATGTACTGTTGTTGTTCAGTTGCTCAGCTGTGTCCAACTCTGCAACCCCATTGATTACAGCACACCAGGCTTCCCTGTCTGTCACTATCTCCCAGAGGTTGCTCAAACTCATGTCCATTGAGTCGGTGATGCCATCCAACCATCTCATCCTCTGTCGTCCCCTTCTCCTCCTGCCCTCAGTCCTTCCCATCATGAGGGTCTTTTCCAGTGAGTCAGCTCTTTGCATCAGGTGGCCAAAGCATTGGCGTTTCAGCTTCAGCATCAGTCCTTCCAATGATTATTTAGGACTGACCTCCTTTAGGATGGCCTGGCTGGCTACAGGGCCATAAGTGACCTGGCCTCATGCTGCACCTCTCCTTCCACACCACTTTGTTCACTCTGCTCCAGCCCCACCGGCCTCCCTGTCCTCGTTCAGGCACGTCAGACAAGCATGAACTCAAGGCCTTTGTGCCTGTCATCTCTTTTGGCCTAGAATGCGGTTCTTCTCTCAGATTTCAAAAGGGCTCACTTTTGTTATCTCCTCCAGGTCATGGCTAAAATGTTAATCTCATCACAAGGGCTTACCTGCTTTATTGTTCTGCATATAAATCATTACTCTCCAGCTTAGTGTATGTTTTACAGACCTAATTTGCTGATACTGTCTCCCACCCCTCCTACCCCACTAGAATGGAGGCTCTGTACGGGAACTGCCTTTGGTCCTTTTTTGTTTCCTAAAGTACCCCAAGGACCTTACACGCAGTAGAAGCTCAGTAAATATTTGTTCAATTAGTATTTTTGAGTTTTTCAGATAATACATTGTATTAGAAAACCAACCCATTTGTCCATAACGGGGCAAGGGGTGAAAAGGAGTCGCCTGCTCAATAAAGCTGAGCCTTCTAGAAAGAGTAAATTCTCACAAAAGCCTGCAGAGGAGAGTGTGACAAAGGAACTCCATCCCTCTTTGTCTTTCCTTTCTCTGTGAAAAAGGCCGGATACTAGGTATTTTATGCCTGTGAGCCATATGGTCTCTTTCACAACTGCTCAGTCCTGCGCGGCAGCATGAAAGCAGACAATACGTGGACAGATGAGCCTGGCTGCGTTCCAGTGAAGCCCTGTTTACAGAAACGCAGGATCTGGCCTGTGGGCCACAGATTGCTGACTGCTAGTCCAGAACAACAGTTCACGGCTTGCTGCAATTTGGGATCACCGGGGGATGTTTAAAAAGTATTAATGCCTGGCTCCCACCTCCAAGAATTGAGAGTCTTTAAAGCTCTCCAGGTGATTCTAATATGCAGCAAAATGCAAGAACCATGGGTCTGGAACCTTGTAATTCGAACTATGGTCTTGAACCAGAAGCGTCCACTGGGGGAGCCTTATATGTTTTTATTTCTCTTTGTAAAAAGGGGGAAAAAAAAGTAAATCTGTATTCTTTCTACTGTTGGTGGTTTTCCATGTCATAAAACCCAAGGGATCCTACTAAAAACTTTATAATTGATGAGATTTGTTAAATAGTTGAGATAAGATTTGTTAAATAAATATAAAAATCAAAACCTATCTGTAAGAATGTTAATTATCTGTAAGAACAATCACTAGATAAAAATAGAAATTAGGAAAAATATTCCACTCACAATATGACATTCTATAAAACAGTTTAAAGTTTAACAGGAGGCACAAACCTAGATGAAAAAAATTATAAAGTTCTATTAAGTTTATAAACAAGATACGGACATGGAATGACAGCATGTTCTGGGATAGTAGGGTCTAATACTAAAATGCTCTTTTCTAGAATTAATGCATACATTTCACACAACACAGCTTTTAATCCCAATAAGGTTTTTCTTTCATTGGACTAAATGAGCTTAGGGTTTTCAAGGAACACTGAATGTCTGAAGTATCTAATAAATTATGGAGAGAGAACATTGAGACTGGACAATCCGTACTGGCATTAAAGAATTGTAAATTGTAAATCACTGAATCAAACTAGAATTTGGTGATAAGGGGCCATGAGCAAAAAGAGAGATAATTACAAAGGAGGTGAAAGAAGCTCAATGTGGAAAACAGATTGATCCCTTCTATACTGGTTGATAATCACAGTGGTGTGATCACTCACCTAGAGCCCGACATCCTGGAATGTGAAGTCAGTTGGGCCTTAGAAAGCATCACTATGAACAAAGCTAGTGGAGGTGATGGAATTCCAGTCGAGCTATTTCAAATCCTGAAAGATGATGCTGTGAAAGTGCTACACTCAATATGCCAGCAAATTTGGAAAACTCAGCAATGGCCACAGGACTGGAAAAGGTCACTTTTCATTCTAATCCCAAAGAAAGGCAATCCCAAAGAATGCTCAAACTACCACACAATTGCACTCATCTCACACACTAGTGAAGTAATGCTCAAAATT